TCCTCCATACATAATTCCTTTATAATGATTGATCCTTTCAACAGTAAAGCTACTAGTTGGTGGACAACACTGTCCACTGACGGATGGAACAGTCCATTGTCCTAAAGAGAATTATCAGTAACTATTGATATGTCACACTTTTACTATAAAATATGAAACAACTGTAAGTACATGTACATGTACATTGGGGTGAGCTTAAAGCAATTGACTCACAGTGGCAGTACCTTCAATGGTTGTCTTACTATTTTAAAGTTAATAAATGAGTCACATGCACCTGAATTATTAATGTTATGTATAGTTAAAAATAAATCTAATGCATTACTTGTACTTGTACATGAGTCAAATAATCATTCAAATCAACCATGAAGCTTGTCATCATCTTCATTGCTTTACAGACAGAGAATAGACTGAGACCCCTTGAAAGATCGGCCTCATTACTTCTACCCAAAGAACCACTCATCCTCATAAAGGCGGATTTACAATATGACATTAGGCCAGCGTACCGTCAATTTTTAATCAAAAGCGTGGGCGATTTGACCTTGACGCATGCTTTCCGCTGGAATAGAACCAGATTCTATTCCTGCGTCAACGTAACGTCAGGACTAGCGTAATATTGTAAATTCGCCTTAATGCTTTGGAAACAACTATAGACTGAGTATTATTGGGGCGAGCCTGAGCTCACCCCACTAAGGCAAAAAAGTGTTTGTTTGTCTGTATAGGGATAGGGTCATGTAACTATTATTAAAGTTAAATAGCCTAATCTTCATTGAAAATGGGTGTGGTCACAATGAATAAAATGGCGGCTATCAGCAAGTCTGAGCTTATTTGCAGCAAAAGGTCACTAGCGTATCCAAGGGGGGGCTGAAGGGGCTTAAGCACCCCCCCTCATGACTGTGCTCAGAAAAAAAATTACTCAAATCCTGGACTCTTGCATCACTACCAAGCCTCTTAACAAAGTTATCTAGCCCCCTGATCATGATTTTAGCAGTTTCCAGTGCTTTAAAGAGTGATCATAAGTCGTCAAATGTACCAGTATGGTTCGAGGTATGCTTGAAATTATCTTGACCACACTCGTAATTCCCAAAAATGAAGGAAAACGCCGTTTTACCCCCGTAAAAGGGGGTGTGGTCAAAATCGCGGCGCGCTTCGCGCACCCTCAGCCCCCTTCTTCCATTTCTGGATACGCCACTGAAAGGTCGCCAAGATAAGACTAAATTGCTGTCTAAAAACTTCTCTAGCAAGAATAAAGGTTGGAAAAGCAGATATACAGTCTTTTCCTTGGTATAAAGGACTCTGATAAGTTGAATGCAAGTGAGAAGCTGCATGTACTGTAGCCTAGCTGCATGGTGAGATCTATTCTAGGTGATGTTTCTTCTCTAGCAGCAAGCCTAGGTTAACAAAACAAATACATAATCTTCAAATATGATTTGTGCAGTGACTGCTTCTAAGCATCTTTAACACTATCAGTAAGATAAGTTAAATTGCTGCAGACTCAGATTCTTGAGTCTTGAAGTGACTAGATCTA